TTAACTTTAAGCAAAACCTGTATCAAATCAAATAAAACAAGTTTAATTAATAATGCAAAGGTGTTCGCGTAAAAGCTATTAATTTGATTAACAAAAAAGATTTATCGTTCTTTGTAATTAATTTAATACATCGTAACTTCTTCAGTTGTAGGGTTTAGTAAATTTAAATTACTTGATATAATTCATGATTTAAAGGGTGATTTTAATTAAGGGATTAAGAATCAACGACTGACATTATTAGGTAGTAATCGATAAATAAGCACAACTTAGTTGACAGTGAACAACAACAGAGATATAAATTGCAGCAAATTATAGTTTTCCCTCAAAAAGCATAATGAAAGGTCAGTTTCATAATCATAGGGAATAATCCACATTCGCTGTCATTTTTTTACAGTTCACTCCTAGTTGTATATCGAGAATAAATGTTTTCGCAAACAGATATTAAAAAAAATCTGATAAAAGAAGTGATTTTTTTAATCACGATTTTTATTCACCCTCTTCAGTTGCTCATCATCATAAGGTCGTCCGTCCTAAAACTGGTTGTACACGTACTTCCACTCTTTCCTATCCTGAGATAAACTTCGCATTTCCCTAAAACTAGAACAGCTCACATCCTTAATTATTTGCGACCAGTAATCTAATCTAGGTGTACATCTTCCCCTCTTAACTCCCGTTTCTCCCTTTAATATGTCTCTGACTAGACATTCATGCCTGAGAAGGTGTTCTACTAACCTATCTCGCCTATTTCTTATTGACTTCCGTAGAGTCTCCTATTCTTACTAATACCTATTCATTTCTAACCTATTCTATACACGGTATCCTCATCATCCGCCTATAACAGCACATTTCGAACGCTTCTAACCTTTTCTTTTCTGCCGCTTCTACTGTCCATGTTTCGCACCCGTACAGCGCTCCACTCCAAACATACACCTTTAACAACCTTTTTCGAACTTCTAAATTAACCCTTGGTTAGAAGCGTTCGAAATGTGGTGTTATAGGCGAATGATGAGGATAACGTGGGTAGAAAAGGCTAGAAATGAAGAGGATTTAGAATGAACAGGAGAACAGAGGACTCTATGGAAGTCAATAAAAAATAGGCGAGATAGGTTGGTAGGAAACCTTTTCAGGCATGAAGGTCTAGTCAGAGACATATTAGAGGCAGAAAGAGGAGTTAGGAGGGGTAGATGTATACCTAGATTAGATTACTGTTCGCAAATAGTTAAGGATGTGGGCTGTTCTAGTTTTAGTGAAATGCGAAGTTTATCTCAGGATAGGAAAGAGTGGAGGTGCGTGTCCAACCAGTCTTAGGACTGATGATCTTATGATGATGATGAGCATAAAGGTGATTTATTTTTATTGAAGGTGACTCAACCCTGCGTTATCCTCTGCTTTATATCCCTACTACTGCTTCCGTCCTGACTTATCTGACATCCTAGATACCTAAAATCGGCCACTTCTTCTAATTTTTCGTCTAGTATCTTTATATTCGCTCTTTCCCTACATTTCCTTGCCTTGCATACCAGTATTTTTGTTTTACTTTTATTTATTTTCATACAATACTGGAAATCATATTGAATAACAAATTAAGAAAAACACTTTCCATAACATTTTCGATAGAAATTGATCCTCATTCTATAGGGTGAAATGATTCTTAAAGTTTTCCTATATAAAACAAATTAAATAAACCAAAAACTCTGCTAAAATACATGTTACTCCTATTTAATATAAAAAAAGAGTACTCTGATGTGCATTTTAATTTTAGCGTTTTGAAGCAAAGGATTATGAAATTACCCTCAAAAAAATTCTAGGCACAACATTCGCTACTATTGAATTATGTTCTACAAACCAATAATTATATTTTAAAAATAAATTGTATTGTAATTATAAAGTTGAACGAAAACGAAAAGAAATTGTCAGGTCTTTAGAAAATACAAAAAACCGCCGAATATTTGCCAATACAGTCCATTTCCCTAGAAATGAAAGCATTGCCCATGATATAACATAGCACAAGACGTACTTAATCATATGAGTTCACAATTACTTATGTATTATAAAATTTAAATAACTTCATTATT